GTGACCTTGAGTCCATTAGGTGTCCATTGCATCGCTGTTGACCTCGTGTCCAGTGACCTGAGTCAAGCTCAGCTCCTCTTCATCTGCGTATACTCTTGCCTATAGTAAGTGTCGACGACGCTGCCTTTCCCTCCAACTCTACCCAGTTGCTTGGACATTCCGACTGTCTAAGTGATTGGTAACCCCAACGGGCGTTCCCCTGCACGTCGCTCGTCACATGACCCACCTAAGTGGGTCGGTCTTACTCATCCTTGTGCCCTGCATGTGATTCTCTTGTACTATTCTTGGACCATGGATTTGCATATATAAGACCCCTGTAGCTCGCCCTAAGTCCCCATCTCGACCTCTTGTGTCTTGGGGACTTAGGTGAGTAACCGTCTCTGTACTAGATACTATGCTAACTTGTGTCTTGGGGACTTAGTGTGTGACCTTGAGTCCATTAGGTGTCCATTGCGTCGCTGTCGACCTCGTGTCCAGTGACCTTGAGTCGAGCTCAGCTCCTCTTTCTTCGCGTGTACTCTTGCCTATAGTAAGTGTCGACGACACTGCCTTTCCTACCGACTCTACCCGATTACTTGGACATTCCGGCTGTCTAAGTAGTTGGTAACCCCAACGGGCGTTCCCCTGCACGTCGCTCGTCACACGAACCATATGCCGGACATGCAGTTTACACCGGTTTCGATCTATATTCAGGGTTTGATGCATGTGTGTTGGCAGCCGTCAGCCGTGACCTAACAGCATTTGACACTCCAATGGGACTGCTGCAACTTAGGGTCCTGCCTCAGGGATTTACTAATTCACCGGCAGAGTTCCAGCGGTGTATGCTACATATCCTGCAAGACGAGATCCCTCACATCGCCAACATATTCATTGATGACCTTCCTATTAAGGGACCAAAGACCCAGTACCTTGATATCGACGGTCAACCTGAAGTCCTGAAGTCAAACCCTGGAAGACGGCATTATCAATGGGAGCATGCACTGGATGTAGATCGGATTCTCCAGCGACTGTCACATGCTGGCGCAACTATCTCAGGCACTAAGGCACAAGTAGCCAGACACCATGTGCTGATAGTTGGGCAGAGATGTACACCTGATGGGCGCTTACCCAACTTGGAGAGCATTAACAAGATCCTGAAATGGCCAAGACCAACATCGGTTAAACATATACGACAGTTCCTTGGTCTAGCAGGCACAATGCGGATATGGATACCAAATTACACCTTACTGAGCAGACCTTTGCGGGAGCTAGAAAGAAAGGATGCTCCTTGGACATGGACAGAGCGGCAAGAACGGTCATTCAAGGTTTTGAAAGAGAAGATCACATCGGCACCAACTCTCAAGCCTATTGATTATAGTTCATCGTGACCAGTTATATTGGCTGTGGACTCAAGCAAGTATGCAGTGGGATTTTTGCTATACCAAGAAGATGAAGACGGTCGAAAGCATCCGGCAAGATTCGGGTCACTGCCAATGACAGAACGAGAGTCAAATTATAGCCAACCCAAGTTGGAGCTTTGTGGCTTATACAAGGCCATGCGACACTACCGGCTGTACTTAGCAGGAGTCAAAAACCTCAAGGTCGAGGTGGATGCGAAGTACATCAAGGGAATGTTGAATGAACTGGATCTGCAGCCTAATGCAACTCTCAACCGCTGGATTGAAGGGGTCAGACTGTTTGACTTTGAACTGGTACATGTACCTGCAGAGCGACACAAGGCTGCTGACGCCTTATCACGGCGAGAACCAGCGGAAGACGATGAGAATGCCCCAGATGACGAAGACTGGCCTCATGGCGTCACCTTGATGCTAACAGTGCACTCCCAAGGGTTGGGCAACAACGAGACAAAACCTCACCAATTACCATCAGTGTGGATAGCACAGGCAAATAGGGATGACACGTTACAGCAGATTGCAGAGTTTCTCAAGACAATGGTTGTCCCACTAGAGAAGACCCGTCAACAGCAAAGGCGCTTTATTCAGAAAGCTCTCCAGTTCTGTTTAAAAGATGGTGCAATGTACCGAAAGTCAAGCGGAAAGCTATTGCTAGTTGTGACAGACCCCAAGAAGCGGCTAGAGATATTAACACAAGCACATGAAGGGCATGGGTGCCGGAAGACATATTCTGTGTTTGAAGCCTTGCAAGCACGGTTCTTTTGGCCAAGAATGTACCAAGACATCGAACACCATGTTCGCTCCTGTCATGAATGCCAAATACGGAGTGTCAAGAAAGTACATCTCCCTGTCACTATATCTCAGCCAGCGACAATCTTCACAAAGGTATACCTGGATGTCATGTATATGCCGGTAGCCAAGGGGTTTCGTTACATTGTGGCAGCTAGAGATGACCTTACACTAGCAGCTGAAGGGCGAGCACTGAAGCATGCTACAGCCGAAGCTATAGCAAGGTTTTTCTGGGAGGACATCCTCTGTCGGTATGGCTCTGTGGGGCAGGTCGTCACTGACAATGGACCGGAATTCAAAGACGCCTATGCGCTGCTCATGCAACGATATGGGATTCCACAGATTAAGATCTCGGAATACAACGCTCAAGCCAACGGTGTAGTAGAGCGAGGTCACTTCATTCTCAGAGAAGCACTAGTAAAGGCATGCAAGCAGAGAATTAACAAGTGGCCTGACCTCGTCCCTCATGCCTTCTTCGCAGACAAGGTCATGACTAGGAAGGCAACTGGATTCTCCCCATTCTACCTATTACATGGAGTAGATCCGGTTCTACCATTCGACCTAACAGAGGCGACTTACCTTGTGGATGGTTTCAAATCAGGAATGAACACAAGTGATCTCCTTGCACTGCGCATTAGGCAGTTGGAGAAACGACCGGAAGACATTGAAGAGGCGTCTCGACGATTGGCAGCTACTAGATGGAAGTCAAAGTTGCAGTTTGAAAGATGGTTCAGATCAGGGTTGAACCGAAAGGAATACAACCCGGGTGACTTAGTTCTAATTAGGAACACTCGAATCGAAAAGGAACTGAATCGCAAGTCCAAGCCGCGGTACCTTGGCCCTATGGAAGTGGTTTGGCGTACCAGGATGGGTTCCTATGCACTCAAAGAGCTTGACGGGACACCATCATTGAGAGGAGTTGCTGGGTTCCGCCTAATCCCCTACTATAGTCGCAATGGCAGGTCTGTTGGTGCAGGGCAATTGCCCAGAAAGGACGAATCTATGGATGAAGATGACCCAATAGGAGTCGATGAGGACAGCGAGATAGGGAACACAAGCTGTGTTGAAGAGCGAGATGGAAGTCATAGCTAAGCCACCCCTAAGGCACTGTGGCGTGGTACAAAGCACATGACAAGCAACAAGACTTGTGGTACCTTACGATACACTCCTTATCACCAGACTTCACCACCATCGCTACTGTTGCATCATGGACTCTTCCCAGGCGCCTGTTACTACCCTCACCACGGCCCAGGAGTATGGCCCTGCGCAATTTGATGGTGTCCCCCTTGGTTAGCAGACTCAACACTGCAGAAAGCCTGGTACTCACCGACCCTTAGGCCACGTCATCGTGCCTGGAGGATGGGTCGTCCCTGTCAGCACCACCCCAACCTATGCGCACATGCCATGGTCGGGCATCTGGAAGCTGGATGAGCCAGGGCTTACACCAGAAGTGTGGGAAGGGCGTATTGTCTACATGCAGGATGAAGAGAAGGGGTGCAGCGTGTATGGGCAGATAACGCACCTGGTTGCAGTCAGCCGCAAGTTTGCCGTCTACGCCGTGGGGGAGAAGACGTGCCAGTACGACAACCCTATGAAGATGTGGTACTCGGTTCCAGTAGTCACCAGGCTCGTCGTCCCCCTCTACAACACACCGGTGTGGTTCGGGCAGAAGTGGTGGATGCGGTGGAAGGGTTTGTGGTGGGGGCATATCGATTACATGAGTGCATAAGGACAACTACAATATCAATGGAAGCCAAATGAAAGAGATATAAGAGTCAGAGATGATGTTATGACTGAGGGCAGTCATCTAAAGGGGGGGGGAGATGTCAGTGGACGGAAGTGTCCGCTGCTGAAACTGACAACATAGGGCAGGAGTACATATCCAGTGGCATGGGAGTTTGACACACAGGCGCATAACCAGCATGGCTCCACTGCGGACTCACACACACTGTTACTACCAACCCCTATCGACATGCAACCCCACTCTACCAACACCTCTGCAGAGCCGCCAATGGGTCAGCATAGCGGTTGACCACCACTCATAGCTTACTGAACCAACTCAGGATATTCATGGCTGCCAGGCGACTTCATCGTTCCAGATAGCGCAGTGCAAGCTCCCGCACAAATGCTGTCTCCAGGGACCTGGAAGATGCGAGGGTCGGAGGTTACTACTAGGGACTGGGACGGTCTCATGCTATACATGGTGGATGGGCGGATGTGTTGTGCGGTATATGGGAAGATTCGCGGTCCTATTGCAATGGGACGCCGATTTGCGGTCTACGCTGTAGAACAGAAGACTCGGTGCTTCCACGGTGTTCGCTGGTA